AATCTATTCAAGGAAAGAAGTTCTTTCTTGTGTTGGATGATGTGTGGGACCATTCTGAACATACATGGGAAAGACTACAACAGACTTTCAAACACGGTGCCCCAGGGAGTAGGATTCTGTTAACCACTCGAAAGGATGAGGTAGCGAACATGATGGAAAACTCCCATGTCTTTTGTTTGGAATAGTTAACTGATGAGGATTGTTGGAAGATACTTAGACACTTTGCATTTCCTGGAAGGAATAAGGAGGCACCCCCAAATTTAGAGTACATTGGGAGACAAATTTCAACGAGGTGTTAAGGCTTGCCTCTTGCTGCAAAGACTATAGGATGCCTCCTAAGGTTCAAAAGCAGTAGAGAAGAATGGGAAAAGGTCTTGAACAATAAAATCTGGGAATACCCTTCTGACAGAGGACTGATTTTTAATTCACTATTATTCAGTTATTGGGATTTGCCTTCACCAGTAAGACGATGTTTCTTGTATTGTGCCAGTTTCCCCAAAGACTTTGTAATCTCGGTAGATCATTTGGTAAGACACTGGATGGCACAAGGTTTTTTAGGGTATCCCGAAGGGAAAGTAACAGGATATGAGTGCTTTGACTTATTAGCAGCTCGATCTTTCTTCCAAGATTTCGCAATAAATTCGAATGGTACCATATTTATATGCAAAATGCATAACATTGTGCATGACTTTGCCTTGTATTTAACGGGAGAGGATTCATATCATTATTCTCCCTCTTATTCTTTCTCTATGAATCAAACTCGTTATTTTACAACAAATCTTGCACAGCCGATTACTTTTTCGCTAGGAATTAGACAGCTGTGCAGCATCATACTATTTTCTGAAGGGCATCCCATAACAGTTGAAGACTTATTGCGCTTCATCTTCAATCGTGCTGAGGTTTTAAGGGTGTTAGATTTGAATTGGTCAAATTCATGTGCTCATTTATATGAGTCAATTCCGCAAGAAATAAAGAAATTGATCCATTTGAGGCTCCTTAACTTGTCTTTCAGTAGCAGATTGAGAACATTGCCTGAGTCGCTCTGTGAATTACTTAATTTGCAATCTTTGGACCTCAAGGGCTGCGAGAGTCTTGAGAAACTGCCAGACGGGATGGGAAACTTGATCAGCTTGAGATTTTTGCGGCCTTCAGGTTGTTGCAGTCTAACTTGCTACCCCAAAGGCATTGGGAGATTGACAAATCTCACAGATGTATATAAGATCTCCGCCAGAGCTGATAGAAACGACCCTAAAGATTCAGTCTTGGGGACCTGGAAAACATGGACAACCTTTGTACGGTCTGGATGAAACTGAAAGGAAATGCAATAGATATGGGGGAGGCCACAAGAGCTAGATTTGAGAATAAGACACAGTTGAGGGATTTCAGAGTATATTTGGATGGAGATTTGGATGAGGATTTGGATGAGGATGAGGTGATTCAAGCTTTCAACCTGCCTTCCTCCATAAATGTCCACTTCTGCAATGCCGACTTTGAGTTCAAGTAGCCGGTACATAGATATGGCAGGTAAGCCTGCTACACTTTAAATTAGAATAAAAGTTGTATGATCATCTTCTCTTTATTTATATCACTCTGACCATCCATGCTGTGTATGCTGCAGATTCTTTTATCTCAAGACATGCTTGGTTTGGTAGTTATATTATTCCCCAAGGTAAATGATTTATAATATTAATAATTTTGGACAAACATCTCCTTTTTTTGTAATTGGAAATTATCATTGCTGTAACCGGCTTGTATATATAGACTTAAAAAGAAGAAATTGTTTTGTAGAAAGCATGAGAGATGATGGAAGTATTGATGTCCGAAGAGCTCCTAAGTAAGCTGGTTTTATCCGTGAAGAGGAAAGTTGTCCTTGGTGACAAGCTGCTAGCTAGTTGGTCTGTACCTGAACTTTGCAAATTGTGAGTGATTCATGTGATTTTCTACTCTATGCAACGTGTTAGGTTGTGTGATAATTTACTTCTAATTAGAGTAAGTAGCTTTACACTTATAGCTATTGGAATATAAGCATGTATGCTATTCACAAAAGATCCATTCCAAATTCCAATCTTGATTCTGCAGAAAGTTTAATTCGACTTTCATAAAACTCAAGAAATAAGCAAAAATATCCTTATAAGGAAAGATAATTTTTTGCTTGAATTGTTTCCGGAGGTGTTGCTTGGACATCTGGATTAATCAAAAGTGTCTTCATATTCCTCTCTTCTTTATTTTCCTAACAAAAAAAAAATGTAAAAAAAATCTGAAAAAAAAAGAGAGAGGAGATTTAATCCATATTCTCTGAGATAGTGTGCGGGTGTGGAGCCTGAATCCCGGTCAGCCGGCTCGGATCTTGTTAGTCCATAGGCTTTATTAGGGTTAAGTCTGAAAGTTTGGGCCGGGTTTGGTGTATGTAGGGCTTCTTTTGGTTTTGATATTGTTTGATGGGTTTAGGTCATCGGTTCTAGTGTCCGCTGTTTAGGCACGTCGATATTACCAATTCAGAATTCTGGGTTCGATTTCCTTTGTCCTGTCCAAAGTTTGAAGCTTTCCCTCCCCTAGGAATGGGATTCTGCTCGTCTACCCCAAAGTTTGTAGCTTTCCATCAATTTGTTCAGTTGTTCAATTCAATTTTGATAGACGTAACTTACGCTATGTTTGGACAAAAATTAGTAAAGGGAAAGGAAGCCAGGGGAAGAAAAGGAAAAAAAAGAGAAGTGAAGGAAAGGAAATGATTGATATTAAGTTTGATTAAACAAATAAAAGTAGAGGAGAGGGAAGTATAATATTTTTATGGGAAAATTACACATAACCTACTCATGGTTTAAAGTGAGTGCACTTAAAGATTTATAGTATTAAAATATGCACTTAAAGCTTTGTATTTTTTTTGAACACCGTGGATGATGGTTATGGCCTCTGTGAGCGCTCTCGCACCAGACCCTCCCCGTTCGGCGGAAGAAAGTGATTCCTTGGAGAGAAGTACCAAGAGAATCAAGGACGATCCTCCCCCCACCCTAATATCGACTGTTGAAGCCCCTAACCAGGAGGTCGCTCCGTTAAGCCAAAAATCTTTTAAGGATTCATTGATTGATGGGAACTCTACAGTTATTCCTTCCATCGTAACCCTTGAAGAACTCATGGTTGCAGACAGTAACGTTCAGAATCCGATGCAAACAACGGTTGATCTTGGCTTGGGTATTCTTAAGAAACCTATCCCTAAAGCATTCATTCCGAAAGAGATCTGGCAAAAGCTTTGTGTTCCATGGCGGAATTCCTTAATAATTAAACTCTTGGGGAAACGAATCCATTACCATTTGTTATGTTCTCGGCTTTCACGTGTATGGCAAACGGAAGGAGGATTTGAAGTCATTGATATTGGTAATGGTTATTATGTTGCTAAATTTTCCTCTCCGGAGACTTGTTCTAGGATCCTCACTGGAGGCCCTTACAAAATATTTGATCATTATGTGGCGGTTCAACCATGGGAACCTAATTTCCAACCATCTTGGGCACAGCTACCTAAGACTGCAATCTGGGTTCATCTTTATGGTGTACCTATGGAATGCTTTCATAGGCTGCAGTCCTTTATTTGGGTAATAAAATTGGCCATGCTATTAAGGTTGATCGTACGACTCTCCTTGCTACTAGAGGTGAATTTGCATGTGTTTGTGTGGAAGTGGATTTAAATGAGTCGTTGCCATCAATGATTGACTTAGATTTGGAGGAACTTCCTCAGTCGTTAATTCTTGTCAAGTATGAAGGACTCCATAAGATATGCTTCGAGTGTGGTGAGTTTGGCCATAAAAAGGAAGCTTGTCATTATAGACAGTTGCAATCGTTGTTGCCATCGTCGTCTCAGGCTGGTGAAGGTGTTTCCACCCGTGCAAACCTTTCTGCGAATTCTTCAATTGGGCAAGAGAAGATCCCGGAGTTGGTAGCTGATTGCATGGAATACGGCTCTTGGATGGTGGTTAAGCGTAAACCACGGAAGATGGTTAAGAAGCAATCTCATATTGATTCCGTTCCCTCATCCACTAAGGGATTGGATAATGCCAAAGGCGACAATGCTTCTACGTCTAACCAGCAATCAAAGCCGATTATTCAGGAGAAAAGTGCGAATATAGGTAACAAATTTGGAGTTATTGCCATTGAGGAGGATGTTTCGACTGAGATCCCTGTTTCGAAGGAACCTACTTCTGGACAATCACCCACTCAAAAGGAAGGTGTACCAGGTCCTATAAACATGGAATCATCTCCTTGTTTGTTGGTGGAAAGGCACGATGTTGCTACTAAGCCCATTACTGATAGGACTGAAAGCTCTAAGCTCCAAACCAAATCAAGACACAAGAAGGACAAGGCCAAGAAATTTTTGGCCCGATTGCTAAAGTGTCCAAATTGCCTGGGGCTAGGTCATTGGATTCTGCTGTTTTAAAGAAATCTATTAATGACTCTTCTAATCAACTGGTACATGTAGCATCTATCTCCCCTGCATCTCATTCCCACTCTTCGTTGCCTCCTCGTATTGTAACTGCTCTGCAACCTGAATTAATCAATGGTAATATGCCTCCACCTAATTTGGACTTGGCCTCTCCCCTCATGCGTGTGAGTGATTCATCGACGCTTGACCCGGGAAATATGGCTCTTTTGAACTCAGGCAACCAGATTCGCATGGGTGAGATCTCTAGTGCCACTCGTAAAAATGTTCTAGTTGGTGCTGACTCAACAGGTTTTATGCCTATTTCTATTCCTCATAATCCCTTTCCTCATGAAGGTAATCTCATGGAATAGTCGAGGGGTAAATAATAGCCCCTTCCGAAGGGAAGTGAAGGAGTTACTTCGCACTCATAAGCCAGATATTATTTGTTTTCTTGAGACTAGAGCAGATTTTGGATCAAAAGCATTGAACTTTATGCGCCGCCATGGCTATGCTTCTCAATTTCAGGTTCCAGCTTCGGGTTTTGCAGGTGGCTTATGGTTGTGCTGGAAAAGCTCAATGCAACTTTCTGTACTGTTTTCTACTACTCAGGCAATACACTGTTCAGTTTCGTTTCATAATAACGTCTTTTTCTTGTCATTTGGCTAGGTTAGACCCTATGAATCATTTAAAGAGGATTTTTGGAGGCATTTGCAGGACTGGAAGAGAGGGCATTCTGGAGCATGGGTCCTCATGGGGGACTTTAATGATGTAGCCTCTTTTGATGAAATCTTTCCTCGGTCCACAAACATCTTTAATCGAATCCAACGCTTTAGAAGTCGTATGGATTGTTGTGGTCTGATGGATATGGCGACCTTGGGGTGTAAGTATACTTGGTGCAGGATTAGAGATGGACGAATAGTCTTACGTGAGAGATTAGATCGTGTCCTTCTTAATTCTGATGCACAGGTTTTGTTGCATGGTGCTAAGGCTTTTACTTTGCCAAGGACATGTAGTGATCATCACCCAATCCTTCTTTCCTTGGATACAGCAGCATCTCATCCCCCTCCTAATAAGCCAGTTCGCTTTGAGGCTGCATGGTTGTCCAGAGATTATTTCAGTTCAGTCTTCACTCATGCTTGGTCTAAGCATTCTAACCAATTGTCTGCAGCTATCAATACCACAGGCAAGGCTTGTATTTCATGGGGGCGATCTATTTTTGGGAACATCTTTAGGAAGAAAAGGCTTTTGAAAGCACGAATTGCTGGAATCCAAAATTCCCCACGTTATTATTCTTCCTCTTTGCTGCAGGGGTTGGAAAAGACTCTACTAAAGGACTACCAGAAAGTTTTGTATAAGGAAGAGCTACTATGGTTCCAAAAATCTAGAGTGGATTGGATTGCGTCGCGTGATCGAAATACTTCATTCTATCATATGTCCACTGTGGTTAGACGCAACAAGAATAAAATTGGAGCTTTGAAAATTAGAGAGGAGTGGAATATGGATCTGGAGACACTGAAGTTGCATGTGAGGAGTTTGTTTCAAGAGCTCTTCACACAACAAGAAACCTCTCCACTTTTAGAAAATCTTTCTACTCTCCAGCCTCTTATTTCCAACGATGATCATGAATCCCTTATCCAGCCGGCAACCTTGGAGGAGGTTAAACGGGCTTTGTTCTCAATGAAGGGACTAAAAAGCCCTGGGCCAGATGGTATTCCTGCTTTATTTTACCAAAGACATTGGGATACAGTTGCTGGAACCTTTCTTGAGTTTGTAAACCAGGCACTTCTAACAGGGGTCTTTGATCCAAGCCTAATTAAAGCATATGTGGCTTTAATCCCCAAAGATGATTGCCCAGACACTATTCAGAAGTTTAGGCCAATTAGCCTATTAAATGTGGCTTACAAGGTGTTAGCTAAACTTCTTGTTAACAGGTTGCGCCCACACCTCCAAAGGCTTATTGGTCCGTGGCAAAGTAGTTTTTAAGCAGGAAGGAGCACAGTAGATAACATTATCTTGACCCAAGAAGCAATCCATTCTATGAACCGACTTAAGGGAGGGCGAGGTGCTATGGTACTTAAAATTGACTTGCATAAGGCTTTTGATAGTGTGGATTGGGGCTTTTTACATCAGGTTCTGTTGGACTTTAATCTTCCTCAACAGCTTATTAATCTCATTATGTTCTCTGTAACTTCTGTCCAGTTGGAAATTTTGTGGAATGGAGAACCATTACCTCCTTTTACGCCTCAACAAGGACTAAGGCAAGGTGACCCTTTGTCTCCATATCTTTTTATACTAGTTATGGAGAAATTAGCTCAGATGATTCAAAGCAGGGTGGACTCTAAAGCATGGAAGCCCTTCAAATTGTCTCGAGGGGGGGTGTCTCTCTCACATTTATTTTTTGCCGATGATTTAATGCTCTTTGCCCAGGCTTCTAGGGAGCAAATGGATGTCATTCTGGATTGTTTAACCCAGTTTGCTAGAAGCTCGGGACTGGTTTTAAATTTGCAAAAGTCCAAATTGTTCTTGTCATCTAATGTTCACGCTACGGTGGCCAATTTGTTGAGCACTAGGAGTGGAATTTCACTAACCTCTAATCTGGGCACTTATCTTGGGATACCAATCTCACATGGGCGTCACTCTCATCGAAATTATAAGTACATCCTAGAGAAGATGCAGACAAAACTCTCTAACTGGAAAGGTGCTCATTTGAGTCTCGCTGGAAGGAGGGTGTTAATTCAATCGGTAACCACTTCAATTCCATCTTATACAATGCAAGCTATTTTGCTGCCGAAAGCTACTTGTGATGCAATTGATCGGTTGAATAGGAACTTTTTATGGGGCTCAGATTCCGGCGCCTGTAAGCCACACTTAGTTAGTTGGGATATCGTCTGTTTGGAGAAAAGATATGGTGGCTTAGGACTCAGGGCTGCATGGGATTCTAATCAAGCATTTGTGGCAAAATTGGGTTGGCGTTTACTGCATGGAGATAATGCATTGTGGTGCCGTGTCTTGAGAGCCAAGTACTTACGGGATTCCAATCTTTTGGAAGCTAGACTTAAACCGAAATCCTCCTTTATATGGCGTGGAATTCTACAATGTTGCCCAGTCTTGAAAAAAGGACTTCGCTGGCGGATTGGTTCTGGTGAGAGGGTGAGATTTTGGCATGATAATTGGGTTGGCCATGCTCCTCTCGCTATGGAGGGGGATCCTTTGCCTACATCTCCTTCTCTTATGGTTGCTGATGTTATCAATCAAGAAGGTGAATGGGATCTAGATTACTTGAATAGTTTAATTCCGGCAGATGTAATTGAGGTTATTAGAGCCATTCCTTTGTCTCGGCATGTTCAGTTGCAGGATAATACGTTTTGGTCTGATTCAATGGATGGCTCCTTCTCTGTAAAGTCAGCTTATCATCTAATTCAAAGGGACAGAAATCTAATTAATGCCTTGGTTGATTCATGGACTTGGATTTGGAAGTTGCAGTGTGCAGAACGGATCATGATGTTTGTTTGGTTCTTGGTGAGAGGAAGAGTTCTTACTAACTCTGTACGCTTTGCACGCCACATGACTTCTTCTCCTGTTTGCCCTAGGTGTGATTCCTTTATTAAAACTCCTGTCCATTTATTACGGGATTGTTACTATGCTAAACTCGTTTGGGGTCTACTGGGATTTGCCACAACTGAATTTTTCACCTTGGAGCTATTCTCTTGGCTTAGAAAGTTTTCAGCTTCTGTGCGCCTGTCCATGCAAGCTGGGATTTCTAGGGGAGTTTTGTTCTTATCTGCAATTTGGTTCCTTTGGAAAGATAGGAACTCTCTTATTTTTGAGAATCATAGATCCAGACCACAGGATTTATGTGCTTTGATCTTTCAGCAGGCTAAGTTTACTATGATTGCTTTGAATTCTATCTTGTTGACCACACCTCGGCAACCAAGATGGGTAAGCTGGATGCCACCGGTTGAGGGTTGGTTTAAGTTGAATTCTGATGGGTCTTATAATCTGTCTAAAAACTCTGCTAGTGCTGGAGGTTTGATTAGAGATAGTTCTAGAGGTTGGGTTGTTGGATTTACAATCAATGTGGGTTGTGCTTCTATTTTTATAGCAGAACTTTGGGGCCTTAGGGAAGGGCTTCGAAGATGTAAATCACTTGGTTTGCCTTGAGTTATTGCTGAAATAGATTCACTCATGGCAGTTCGCTTTATTCAGGAGAAACGCGAACCAGATAATTTGTCTGCAGCCATCTTGTTAGAAATTAGAAGCTTAATGCAGAGTTTCGAAGCATGTACGTTGCAGCATGTTTTAAGGGAAGGGAATACTGCAGTAGATTTTTTGGCTTCCCTTGGTCATACTGCACCACCAGGCCTAACGATTTAGGACTCTCCACCAAATGGTCTTGTGAAGTTCCTTCAAGGGGACCAGCTGGGAGTCAGCTTCCTCCGTTATTAGTTTTCTTTAAGTAGCTTTTATTTTAATCCTGATGTACCAAAAAAAAAAAAAAAAGCTTTGTATTTTGAACTGTGAGTATTAAACCTCTCATACCATCCAAATGATGTTAAAATTATGTATAATATCTTAAATACCCTTAACCTAAAAACTAAAAAAGAGGGAAAATGGTCAACCATTGCACAAACTCTATTTCATAGCAATCTTAAAAAATCAACTCAAGTGAAGATAAAAACTAAACAAAATAACTCTCTAAATGTAATCGAACAAAATCTTTTAATCTATTGTAATTTATATTCCGAAGTGAAGCTTTGTTTCTAATTCTTTTATCAACTTTTTTGTCTTTGGTTGGAAGTTTTGTTGCTTGTTTAGGATTTAAAAAGTGAGGATTTCATTTGAAAATTGAAAGGTTCTACTTTGATTATCTGTAGTTATAAATAATATATTCTTGATTTTATGCATATTTATGTATAAAATATTACATAAATAATATCCTTTGGTCATATTTGTGCATATTTCTTAGGTAATTATTATCTTATGTAATTCAATTGGAAAAAAAATTAATTTGCATATATATAAAATATTTATAATTAACATGTACTCTTGAAATTAATTGAAATTAAATATGCATAAAATCAATGTGCAAAACTACAATAGATGATGGTGTTAGGTAGGAAGGTTATTGGAGGAATTAAAATAAAAAGTGAAGTTCTCCATTAGGTTTTTAATAGCAAAAGTGTCTTATTGCTCTTATTTCAAAACATAGGTCTTTAAATGTACATTTTCATACCACATACCTTTAAATACACTTATCTTAAATTATAAGTAGATTAAGTGTAATTTTTTCTATTTTTATTTAATTAAATAATTTTTTTAAAATAAAATAAAATCTAATAAAATTTTTAAAATCATTAATTAAAAAAATATTGAAATAAAATATTTTTATATATTTATTTTTCAAAAAAATTTTAAAAATAAAAATATATAAAACCAAACCTCTCAAATCCTTTTGATTAGAAGGAATTAAAAAGAGAGTAGTGGAGGGGATTACATCTCCCTCCCCCTCTATTAAAATTAATAACTTAAATACCACGAGGAGAAATCTCTCTTCATCTCTTTCCCCTCTCCTCAAACTTCCTCGATCCAAACTAAGGGTTAATGTTTTCATATCCTCGATTCTTAGATTACATTACACCAAAGCACACCCCGCGGATTGGCCCCTGAAATCTGGAAGATTTTCTGTTATTTAATTTTGCATTGGATTCTGATATTCTGTCTGCTTCGTCCCACGAAATCAGTGATATAATTGTGTTGTGTTATAAAGCAAAAGCATGGAAAAGAAAAAGAAGCGTATGCGTGTGGGAATCCAGGAGGATCGGATTTCGGATCTGCCAGATGCCGTCCTTCATTACATATTTTCTTTTCTCCAACCTGTGTTTTGTCTAAGAGATGGCTTCGTGTTTGGCAAACCTATCCAATTTTGGATTTCTCTCCATACTCTTCTGGTCTACAAAGTTTTTTTTATGCCTCTCCGTGAAGGGAATGATGATTTTAGATATACTGAATATTTCAAAGCTTTAGACAAGTACACAAATTTCATTGATTACAAACTGCAAAAATATTGCAACCACAATTTGGGGATTCAGAAATTTAATCTTGGCATTACTTGTGAACCCAAGTTTTATCCTCTTATTGATAAGAAGATAGGATTGCTTAGAGAAAAAGCATGTTAAACAGTTAAAACTCTCTTTATTTATCAGTAGACAAAAAGTTCGTTATTGTTACCGTTCGGCACAAAAGGTCTTTGGAATCAAATCATTGACTGAGTTATCTATTCAAAGTTTGGAGACTTTTTCAGAGAGCCATAAAGCATAAATCTCTGGTGACCTTGTCCCTCAACCAAGTTCGTTTTGATAGGAAGTTGATATTTGATGATCAAAACCTCCCTTGCATTGGGTTTATATCGTTATTAGGCTGCTCGGTACCCGGGGGCTAAAAATAGCTTGCCACCGGCTTCAAGAATTGAAGTTATTTTTGTGTAGAAAGTTAGATAAGACACAGGTTTTTGTTCCAATGCCAAGTTAATGTACTTTTCATCTCGAGTGACAGACACACCCTCATTCTTTTCTCTCAGTGCTCCAACAAAATTGCTTAGTTTAATACTTTCTTCAACTTTTCCGAGATTTGATATCTCATTGTTACTTAATCTCCTTCCCTTATTCCCTGCTGTAAGACTTTCTTCCACTACTTCGAGATTCGATGCCTCATGGTCACATTATGCAAAATGAAACTGACACTCTTGATCTATTGTTCTTTCCAGTTGAAAAGGTACTTTCTAATGAACACAACATTGTTTACTATCTTTACCTGGAATCAATTAATAGTTTTTTCCTGAGGAAGGACAGGATGGATGTCTTTAGAATTTTAATGCAAGACATATGAGGCAGAGAAGATGATGACCACGGTGCTTCAAAATGTTGGTGGTTTGATCTATTGTTCTTTCCAGGTGAAAAGGTACTTTCTAATGACCACAACATCGTTTACTATCTTTACCTGGAATCAATTAATAGTTTTTCTTCCTGAGGAAGGACAGGATGGATGTCTTATAGAATTTTAATGCAAGATATTTGAGGCAGAGAAGATGATGACCACGGTGCTTCAAAATGTTGGTGGCAGTGGTCCATCTTTAAGGTGAAGGACGCTGAAGGGATTAAGCAGAAGGGACCTCTTTGCTGGGATGCTTTGTCGAAAGCAATACAAATAATGCAGAAAATAGCTCAGCCAAAACATAGTGTTGATTTTTATTTAACATGAAGATGATTTTTTTTTTTTCTTTTATGTGAGCAAGGGGGATGACTTAAGTTTGAAGCAAGGGCAACTCTGTCAAATTAACCTTCTAATTTACATGAAGTATAAAAGGACTTTTGTGATATCGTGGAACCAACATAATGGAGTCACAATTGGAAAAGCCATCAAGTATATAAATGATATTTCCTTTGCTATCTCCCTTTTTTTTTTTTTTTTTGAACAAGAAGAATTACAGAGGTGGGGGAATATCGTTGCCTGGGTTCAAACCTACAAATTAGGATTAATTTTTTTAGAGAGAAATTTAGGAGAAAAAAAGACTATAACTCGGTCCAAAATCATAAGAAGAAATAACAAGTTGAGCAAAAAAGAAGAAAAAAAGACTAATTAATAAATATAGGCACAAAACGAAATCATTCCTAAGCTATTAACTCTACTTTGATTTGGATGGAATCAAATCGTGTCTTTCTACAAATGGAGGAACTTGTCACTAATGGCATATAATTTTGTAGCAACTTCTTTCATCTCCATTCTTTCACTTGGTGACTCCATTGAGCAAGCAACTCCAACCTCGGCAACCGCCAAGAGGCTCTCCAAAACACCAACTCCCTTTCGCGTATTCCTTGCCTTTGAATTTTTCTAACTTCTTGAACCTCCTAAAGCAGTGAAGGATTTATAATATCAATTACTCTTTTACGAAGTGTTGTCTTGACCAATTGGTGATTGGGGAAGTTGTCTTTGAACATTGAATCAGTTGGTGCCTTCCACTACTGCAGGAATGGGATATCCGAACCAAAATATCGGTCCGGATATATAGGAAATCGGTCTGAATATATATATCCGGACCGATATTGGTCCTTATAGTTGATCTGAAAAAACCTGGTACGAATAAGTCTAATATACAGACCGATGTAGAATCGGTTCGTATATATATAAT